GAGACTACCGGTAGATCAGATAAGGAATACGTTTTTAACTGAGATGTTCTCACTCAATTACGTTTAATGTGAATTTTCCCACAGTAATATCAGTATACCTTATGTTTCCATTGAATTCCACATAGTATTGCTTTTCTAAAAGTTATCCTTATTCCGGCTGGAGTGGGCTGTATGTAGTTTTGACCTCACCTGAACTGGTCTCGTCAGCACCCCCTGCGGGACTCAAATACAGATTTCGATAGTGCAACCAATAGGCTACAAAGTCACGAGTGCTCCTGAGTGACAGGGAAGATGTGAATTTAAATAAAGGCCAGGCATTTTCCAATATCACATTATGAAGTGGTATGAAGGGATAAAGCAAAGTTGTGTTTCCTATAGCAATCGACTGGATTACTTAAATTTCATTTACATATTGGTTTTCGAAACTACCAGCAGATCATACATGTGCTATGTATCCATCTCGAGTCCCACTGGTGGTGCTGAGTAGGCATAAGCGAGGACACAACTGAAGTCCATCCTGGATGAAAATATATTCTATTAAAGCAGAGCTATGTGAAATTCAATGTAAAAGTAAGGCCTACTCATATGATTGTTGGAAAATTAAACTAAAAGTCTCCTTATCACCTTCAATGAAATAAGATGAGTACATTTCATATATTACTTCGCATAATCTGACTCGTGTTGGAGGGCATGTATACTGCTGTCTCACCTAGCAGACCTACAAAGCTTGGATTATTCATCTACCGTCTACTCGAATCCGGGTATTTACTTTAGTGAAGCGTTTCTTTTTTTTAATGAGGAAAAAATATTATCCTTTCTTGCTGATGCTCGTGGTTCCGAAATCAAAAGGTACAATGGATAACTTGACAAACTGTATTGAACACTTGGTTCTGTCGTCATGGCAATTGCGTATTAACATGCCTTTACTGATAAATTGGAGGAAAATTAAGGGATAAGAGTAGTAGGTTATTTAAGCTCCTACTTATTTAAGATATGAAGACCAAGGTGTTGTGGCCTCTGGTATGGTCACAGTCTCTTTTCGATTTATATAAGTGGGTTGACCTCGTTGTCACAACTTGGTCTTGTTGCCAGGGTGACTTAGTAGAACGCACCTAGTTCGAAGTTGTCTGCCATAGTAGTTGTCATGATTCCCAGAGTCTATAGATAGGCCAGGACAGAAAGAGGAGTGATAGTGTAACCGTTTTCGACAGAAAGCTTGTCGATGGATTGACTTCACTTGTCTCTGACGAATTGATAGTTTGGTTACGAGGATGGTAGG